ATCAAATTAAAAAATGGGAATTGACACATTTACTTTTTGCTGATGTACTGTGTTATGGGAGATTCTAAAGAAAAATTGAAAAGGTTTGGATGAGTTTGGAAATGTGTGTAAAAGAAAGTTGAAAGTGAACATAGAAAAGGAAAGGGTGATGAGGGTTTAAAATGTTTAGATAAAGAAAAATTTGGATATAAATTGGGGAGGGGGGTAGGGAAAAGAAGTAATGTTTTCAGATATTGGGATTTGACGTGTCGGCGGAGGGGATTTTGAAGGATAGGTTAATCAAGAATTATGAGGGTGCGTTGAGTAATGTGGAGTCAAAAAAGTTATCTTGGAGGCAAAAAAAGGGAATGTATAAAAGTTAGTAGTACCAACACTCTTATATGGGTGTGAAGCTTGGGGGGTAAAAGCGCCCGCGAGGAGACGGTTTTGGGGGCAGCGGAGAGTCCTGTTTAAGGGCAATGGTGGTGTAAATATTATGAGAAAATTCGGATGTGGAAAATTGGGAAGGTGTGGGGTTTTAAAAAAAGTATTATCAGAGGGGAGAAGAGGGGTTTTTTAGGTGGGTTTTGGGCTTTAGAGGAATGGATCACAGTAGAAAACAGGAAAACATATAAATCTATAGGGGGGGAAGGCGGGTAAGGGGCGTCCTCGAAAGGGTTGGAGGGGGGGTAAAGGAGGTTTTGTGGTAAAGGGGTTTGGGTTCCAGCAAGGGCGTGAGGTGTTAGATGGAGTGAATGGAGGGACGAATGGACTTGGGACCTGAGATTGTTGGGGGTAGAGGGTAATATTTAGTGAAGGGATTTAGGGAAACCGGTTATTTTCATTGTCGGCTTGAGTCCTGGAAAAGGGAAGTACAATGCCCGCATTTAAAGAGGGGTTTGGGGGTATTGGCATTTGGGGGATATGTTGTGTACTTTTTTTGTTTATGCTTCTAGACTGTTGTATTCTGAGCACCTCGCAAAAACAGTGATAATGTGCGAGGTGGTGAAATGTTAAATGATGTAAAAGTGTTTTCTTTTTGGGATTTTTTTTTTTTTTTGGGTCCACCCGCTCGGTGGGAGAGGGCCCCCCACTTTTTGAAAAAAAAAAAAAAAAAAAATAATATTTTTAAATATATTATATTTTATATATATAATGTCGTGCCGAATAGGATAATTTGCTTTTTGGGCTTAAATGCACGCTTTTCTTGCCAAAACAAGGAAAGCAAAAATTTTGAGTACAATAATTTCGCAAAAATCACTTGGCCTAAGAAAAAAATATATTATGTTTGTTATTAATTATTGAAAATTATCAAAAAAATTTATTTAGTTGGATTAGGAAAAATTAAATTGCGCTTGTTATAAGGTCAGGTAATTTTCCCAAAGGGTTTGTTTTTGGTAAAAAATTATTAATTTTTACTTAACATATATGAAAAAATGATCTTTAAAGTATAAGGAAAATTTTAGAAAGGCTTAAAAAGGAGGAAAACCAGGCAAAAACGATCAGAGGAAATGGAGGAAGGAGGGTGAGGAATAAAAATAAGAAAAAAGAAAAGGAACACTCAGGAGGCCTGTTGGCCCCTATAGGCAGGTCCCTTTCAATTCGTCCCCCTAACAAAAATTTGCCCAACCCAATTTTTTAAAGCTCCCCAAAAAATAAGCTCTGATGAGTGGAAGTAGATGGAAAGGGGGGTGAGAGAATAAGGAAGTGGATGGAAGGAGGGTGGAAAAATAAGGAGTGGATGGAAAGGGGGGTGAGAGAAAAAGGAAGTGGGTGGAAGGGGGTGGAGAATAAGGAAAGGGGTGGAAGGAGGGGGGAGAAAAAGGAAGTGGATGGAAGAAGGGTGAGAGAATAAGTAGTGATGGAAGGGGGTGAGAGAATAAGGAAGTGGATGGAAAGGGGGGGAGAGAATAAGTAGTAATGGGGAGGGTGGGTGAAATAAGTAAGTGTATGGAAGGAGGGGGAGAGAAAAGGAAGTGGATGGGGAAAGGGGGGTAGAGAATAAGGGAAATAGATGGGAAAGGGGGGTGAGAGAATAAGGAATGGTAGAAGGAGGTGAGAAAATAAGGAAGTTGATGGGAAAGGGGGGTGGAGAAAAGGAAATGGAGGGAAGGGGGGGTGAGAGAATGTAAGTAGATGGAAGGAGGGGGGAGGAATAAGGAAGTGGATGGAAGGAGGGGGGGGAGAGAATAAGAAGTGGATGAAGGAGGGTGAGGAAAAAAGAAATGGAAGGAAGGAGGGGGAGAGAATAAGGGAAATGGATGGAAAGGGGGGTGAGGAAAAAAGGAAAATGGATGGAAGGGGGGTGAGAGAATTTAAAGGGAAATGGTGGAAGGAGAGTGAAGAATAAGGAAGGGAGGAAGGGGGGTGAGAAATAAAGGAAATGGTGGAAGGGGGTAGAGAAAAGTAAGTAGATGGAAGGGGGTGAGAATAAGGAATGGATGGAAGGAGGGTAGAGAATAAGGAAGTGGATAAAGGAGGGGGAAGAAAAGGGAAATGGTGGAAGGAGGGGAGAGAATAAGGAAGTGGATGGAAGGAGGGTGAGAGATAAGGAAATGGATGGAAGGAGGGGAGGAATAAGGGAAATGGTTTGGGAAAGGGGAAATGAGGAATAAGGAAGTGGATGGAAGGAGGGTGAGGGAATAAGGGAAATGGAAGAAGGGGGTGAGAGAAAAAGTAAATAGATGGAAGGAGGGTGAGAGAATAAAGGAAGGGAAAAGGGGGGTGAGAGAATAAGGAAATAGATGGAAGGGGGTGGAGATAAGGAAGAATGGAAGGGGGTAGAGAAAAAGTAAGAGATGGAAGGGGGGGTGAAGAATAAGGAAATGGATGGAAGCGGTGAGAGAATAAGGAAATGGATGGAAAGGGGGGTGAGAAATAAGGAAGTGGGTGGAAGGGGGGGGTGAGAGAAAAAGTAAGTAATGGAAAGGGGGGTGAGAGAATAAGGAAGGGATAGAAGGGGGGTGAGAGAATAAGGAAATAGATGGAAGGAGGGTGAGGAATAAGGGAATGGTGGAAGGAGGGGAGGAAAAGGAGTGGAGGGAAAGGGGGGGAGAGAATAGAAAATAGGGAAGGGAAAGGGGAGAGAATAGGAAGTGGATGGAAGGAGGGGGAGAGAATAAGGAAAATGATGGAAGGGGTGAAAGAATAAGGAAGTGGATGGGAAAGGGGGGTGAGAGAAAAAAGGGAATGGATGGAAAAGGGGGGGGAGAAAAAAGGAAGGGTGGAAGGGGGTGAGAGAAAAAGGAAAATGGTGGGAGAGGAGAGAAAAGGAAGTGGATGGAAGGAGGGTGAGAGAATAAGGAAATGGATGGAAGGGGGGAGAGAATAAGAAAGTGGGGTGGGAGGGTGAGGAATAAGGAAGTGGGGGGGGAGGTGAGAGAATAAGGAAGGGTTGGGAAAGGGGGTGAGAGAATAAGGAAAAGGAGGGAAGGGGGGTGGAGTAAGGAAATGATTGGGGGTGAGAGAATAAGGAAGTGGTGGAAGGAGGGTGAGAGAAAAAGGAAGTGGATTGAAGGGGGGTGAAGAAAAAAAAGTAGATGGAAGGAGGGTGAGAGAATAAAGAAGTGGATGGAGGAGGGTGAGAGAATAAGGAAATGGATGGGAAGGAGGGTGAGAGAATAAGGAAGCGGAAAGGAAGGAGGGTGAGAGAATAAGGAAGTCGATGGGGAAAGGGGGGTGCGAGAAAAAGGAAAGGGATGGAAGGAGGGTGAGGAATAAAAGTGGATGGAAGGGGGGGAGGAATAAAAAAGTGGATGAAGGGGTGAGGAATAAAGGGAATGGAGGGAGAGTGAGAGAAAAAGGAAGTGGATGGAAGGAGGGGGAGAGAATAAAGGAGCGGATGAAGGGGGGTGAGAAATAAAGGGGGAGGAAGGGGGGTGCGGGAAAAAAGGAAAATGGATGGGAAAGGGGGGGGAAGAATAAGGAAGTGGATGGAAGGAGGGGGGAGAGAAAAGGAAGTGGATGGAAAGGGGGGTGAGAGAATAAAGGGAAATGGATGGGAGAGGGGGAATAAGGAAAGGGGTGGGAAGGGGGGTGAGAGAATAAGGGAAATGGGGAAAAAGGGTGAGAGAATAGAAAGTGGGTGGGGGGGTGAGAGAATAAGGAAATGGGTGGGGAGGGGAGAGAATAAGGAAGTGGATGGAAGGAGGGTGAGAGAAAAAGGAAATGGATGGAAGGGGGGTGAGAGAATAAGGAAGTGGATGGGAGGGTGAGAGAATAAGGAAGTGGATGGAAGGAGGGTGAGAGAAAAAGGAAGTGGATTGAAGGAGGGTGAGAGAATAAGGAAGTAGATGGAAGGAGGGTGAGAGAATAAGGAAGTGGATGGAAGGAGGGTGAGAGAATAAGGAAGTGGATGGAAGGAGGGTGAGAGAATAAGGAAGTGGATGGAAGGAGGGTGAGAGAATAAGAAAGTGGATGGGAGGGTGAGAGAATAAGGAAGTGGATGGGAGAGTGAGAGAATAAGGAAGTGGATGGAAGGAGGGTGAGAGAATAAGGAAGTGGATGGAAGGAGGGTGAGAGAATAAGGAAGTGGATGGGAGGGTGAGAGAATAAGGAAGTGGATGAAAGGAGGGTGAGAGAATAACGAAGTGGATTGAAGGAGGGTTAGAGAATAAGGAAGTAGATGGAAGGAGGGTGAGAGAATAAGGAAGTGGATGGAAGGAGGGTGAGAGAATAAGGAAGTGGATGGAAGGAGGGTGAGACAATAAGGAAGTGGATGGAAGGAGGGTGAGAGAATAAGGAAGTGGATGGAAGGAGGGTGAGAGAATAAGGAAGTAGATGGAAGGAGGGTGAGAGAATAAGTAAGTAGATGGAAGGAGGGTGAGAGAATAAGGAAGTGGATGGAAGGAGGGTGAGAGAATAAGGAAGTAGATGGAAGGAGGGTGAGAGAATAAGGAAGTGGATGGAAGGAGGGTGAGAGAATAAGGAAGTGGATGGAAAGAGGGTGAGAGAATAAGGAAGTGAATGAAAGGAGGGTATGATAATAAGGAAGTGGATGGAAGAAGAGAGTGAGTACTCACCTCCTCGTCGTGACCAAAGGCGACATAGAAGGAGCGTGTGGGCTGGAAGTCTGTCTTGGCCAGGTACTGTAGCGCCATAATGATCCCCTGCAACACACTGTGTCTTAGTGCCTATACACACACACACACGAGGACCTAGTAGCGTTCAGTGAAGAGGTGAGGCCAGGAGCTGAGTCTCGACCCCCTGCAACCACAATTAGGTGAGTACATACACACACACACACACACACACACACACACACACATAAGGAAACTGAAGGTATGGTACACAAACGCTGATGGAATAACAAATAAGTGGGAGGAGTGACACGAAAGAGTTAAAGAGGCATCACCGGACATCATAGCTCTCACAGAAACCAAGCTTACATGTATGATAACAGATGACATCTTTCCAACGGGATACCAGATCCTGAGGAAAGACAGAGGGAACTGGGGGGCTGCAGGAGTGGCACTGCTGATCAAAAACCGATGGAATTTTGATAAGCTGGAGAGAGGAGACAGCGGAGAAACAAGCGATTACATAGCGGAAACGCTTCACTCTGGAGGTCCCAAGGTGGTAATTGCAGTGATGTATAACCCACCACAGAACAGCAGGAGGCCAAGGCAAGAGTATGACGAGAGCAATAGAGCGATGGTTGACACACTGGCTGCAGTGGTCAGAAGAGTTCATGCATGCAGGGCAAAGCTTCTGATCATGGGTGACTTTAACCACAAGGAGATCGATTGGGAGAACCTGGAGCCACATGGGGGCCAAGATAAATGGAGGGCTAAGATGATGGAGGTGGTACTGGAAAACTTCATGTACCAACACGTAAGGGACACTACAAGAGAGAGAGGAGAGGATGAACCAGCAAGACTGGACCTAGTATTCACCTTGAGTAGTGCAGATATTGAGGTCATCACATATGAAAGACCCCTTGGGGACAGCGATCATGTGGTTTTAAGCTTCGAATACACAGTAGAGCTACAAGTGGAGGAGCAAGCAGGAAGGCCAGGACGAATGAAGCCAAACTACAAGAAAGGGGACTACACGGGAATGAGGAACTTCCTGAATGGGGTTCAATGGGACAGAGAACTGGCAGGGAAGCCAGTTAATGAGATGATGGAATATGTAGCAACAATGTGCAAGGAGGCTGAGGAGAGGTTTGTACCCAAGGGTAACAGGAATAACGAAAAAGCCAGGATGAGCCCATGGTTCACCCAAAGGTGCAGGGAGGCAAAAACCAAGTGTGCTAGGGAATTGAAGAAATATAGAAGGCAAAGGACCCAGGAGAATAAGGACAGCAGTCGTAGAGCCAGAAATGAATATGCACAGATAAGAAGGGAGGCCCAACGACAATATGAAAACGACATGGCAGTGAAAGCCAAATCTGATCCGAAGCTGTTATACAGCCACATCTGGAGGAAAACAACAGTCAAGGACCAGGTAATCCGGCTAAGAAAGGAAGGAGGAGAGACAACAAGAAATGACTGTGAAGTATGTGAGGAACTCAACAAGAGATTCAAAGAAGTGTTCACAGAGGAGACAGAAGGGGCTCCAGAAAGACGGAGAGGTGGGGCACAGCACCAAGTACTGGACACAGTACACACAACCGAGGAAGAAATGAAGAGGCTTCTGAGTGAGCTAGATACCTCAAAGGCAATGGGGCCGGATAACATCTCTCCATGGGTCCTGAGAGAGGGAGCAGAGGCACTATGTGTACTCCTAACAACAATATTCAATACATCTATCGAAACAGGGAGATTGCCTGAGGCATGGAAGACAGCAAATGTAGTCCCAATCTTTAAAAAAGGAGACAGACATGAAGCACTAAACTACAGATCAGTGTCACTGACATGTATAGTATGCAAAGTCATGGAGAGGATTATGAGGAGAAGAGCGGTGGAACACCTAGAAAGGAATGATCTCATCAACAGCAGCCAACATGGTTTCAGGGACGGGAAATCCTGTGTCACAAACCTACTGGAGTTCTATGACATGGTGACAGCAGTAAGACAAGAGAGAGGGATGGGTGGATTGCATTTTCTTTGACTGCAAGAAGGCGTTTGACACAGTTCCACATAAGAGATTAGTGCAAAAACTGGAGGACCAAGCAGGGATAACAAAGAAGGCACTACAATGGATCAGGGAATACTTGTCAGGAAGACAGCAGCGAGTCATGGTACGTGGCGAGGTCTCAGAGTGGGCACCTGTGACCAGAGGGGTCCCACAGGGGTCAGTCCTAGGACCATTGCTGTTTCTGGTATTTGTGAACGACATGACGGAAGGATTAGACTCCGAAGTGTCCCTGTTTGCAGATGACGTGAAGTTGATGAGAAGGATTCATTCGATCGAAGACCAGGCAGAACTACGAAGGGATCTGGACAGGCTGCAGACCTGGTGCAGCAATTGGCTCAATAGTTCAACCCCACAAAGTGCAAAGTCATGAAGATTGGGGAAGGGCAAAGAAGACCGCAGACGGAGTACAGTCTAGGGGGCCAGAGACTACAAACCTCGCTCAAGGAAAAAGATCTTGGAGTGAGTATAACACCAGGCACATCTCTTGAAGCCCACATCAACCAAATAACGGCTGCAGCATATGGGCGCCTAGCAAACCTCAGAACAGCATTCCGACATCTTAATAAGGAATCGTTCAGGACCCTGTACACCGTCTACGTTAGGCCCATACTGGAGTATGTGACACCAGTTTGGAACCCACACCTAGCCAAGCACGTAAAGAAACTAGAGAAAGTGCAAAGGTTTGCAACAAGATTAGTCCCAGAGCTAAGAGGTATGTCCTACGAGGAGGGGTTAAGGGAAATCAACCTGACGAACCTGGAGGACAGGAGAGTTAGGGGGGACATGATAACGACATACAAAATACTGAGAGGAATTGACAAGGTGGACAAAGACATGATGTTCCAGAGATGGGACACAGCAACAAGGGGACACAGTTGGAAGTTGAAGACACAGATGAATCACAGGGATGTTAGGAAGTATTTCTTCAGCCACAGAGTAGTCAGGAAGTGGAATAGTCTGGGAAACGATGTAGTGGAGGCAGGATCCATACATAGCTTTAAGCAGAGGTATGATAAAGCTCATGGTTCAGGGAGAGTGACCTAGTAGCGACCAGTGAAGAGGCGGGGCCAGGAGCTTGGACTCGACCCCTGCAACCTCAACTAAGTGAGTACAACTAGGTGAGTACACACACAAAGACGAGGACCTAGTAGCGTTCAGTGAAGAGGTGGGGCCAGGGGCTGAGTTTCGACCCCTGCAACCACAATTAGGTGAGTACACACACACGAACCATACATAGCTTTAAGAAAGGTATGACAAAGCTCAGGAAGCAGTGAGAGAGAGGACCTAGTAGTGATCAGTGAAGAGGCGGAGACAGGAGCTGAGTCTCGACCCCTGCAACTACAGTTAGGCGAGTACACACACACACACACACACACACACACACACACACACACACCGATAGAACAGGCGTAGTGTCTAATCGACATGTGCCTAGGACAAAATGGTAACTAACACACACATACACACACACACGCACACACACGAGGACTTAGTAGCGTTCAGTGAAGAGGTGGGACCAGGAGCTGAGTCTCGACCCCTGCAGCCACAAATAGCTGAGTACACACTACTTTTTTGATGACTGTTACAGTCTACACAGAAATGTCTAATCTTTTTGAATATTTATACAGCCATCAACAGACATGTGTATAATGTCTTGAAGCTCTCTTCACCGTCTCCGTCACCAGGGACGCTGCTGCCTGCAGTGTTTGTGTTATTACTGTACTGTTACTTGACGGAGGATCGAGCCTCAACCTCGCGATAAGCTGAGTGGCCCACACAGGTTTAGCACTACAGGAGCTTGGACATGGCAAGTGTTTTGTTACACCTGTGTATGACCTCTCTCTCTACTAGTCTTGTAACTATTTTTCAATAACACTAACAAAATTAAGGTGCGCACTACACAGGTGTATTCACTTAGTGCATCACCTCACCACACAATCATAACCATAATTTTTAATGGGATGGATGGGTAAGCCAGTGGAAGGCCTCGGTCAGATGACCAAAAGCTGCAGCTGCGGGTCATCTTGTGACTAAGACCCTCGTCAGGAAACACGTATCCAGTTTTCTGACAAACCTTACCTAACCTAACCTACTCACCTCACATGCACCATCACTATCACCACCATCACTATCACCATCACCATCACTCACCGCAGCTACTCTAACATAACTCACCATAACACTCAGTTTGTTATCAATGGCTCCTCTGCCCCAGATGTACGAGTGTCCCGTGAGAGGATCTGGGAGGATGTGGCCGCCCCAGGGGTCCTGCATCCACTTGTCTGCCTCCACCGGCACCACATCCATGTGACCCATCAACATGTAGGGCTGCAGCTCCTGGGACTTACCCTGTGGATAACCACCAACATATGCTTCACATTACACTGTTCTATACATCGTTTTATATCTGTATACATACACATAATACATATCTGCAGTACACAGTTACAGGAGTAGGTATGAGAAAGATTAGAGACCAGGATTCAGGAGTCACAAGACTCTACCACAAGCAGATAGATATCGGGAGTACACACATACAAAGTTAAAGACTCAGATGAGTCACAGGGATGTTAGGAAGCACTTCCTCAGTCATAGAGTTGTCAGGATGTTGAATACTCTGGAAAGTGATGTAGTGGATGCAGGAACCATACATAGCTTTAGGAAGAGGTATGATGAAGCTCATGGAGCAGGGAGAGAGTAGACCTAATAGCGACCAGTGAAGAGGCGGGGTCAAGAGTTATGAATTGACCCCTGCAACCACAGTTTGGTGAGTACACACACACACACACACACACACACACACACACACACACACACACACAGGGTACACTCACCATGATGGTGAAGAGGAGGCTGTAAGTGTTGATCACTTCCACTCTGATGAACGTAGTGTTAAACACCTCCGGGAAACCTGTACCAAACAAACTAAAATTAAAAAGGTTGGATGAAATAATGTATTGGCGAAAAAAATATGAAAATGTAAGATGAATTTGACGAACAAACTTTTAATGGAACAACGTTTCCCCTCTGTGTAGAGTCTTATCAAGTTGTTTCCCTCTGTGTAGAGTCTTATCAAGTTGTTCCCTTCTGTGTAGAGTCTTATCAAGTTGTTTCCCTCTGTGTAGAGTCTTATCAAGTTATATTTTGCTCTGTGTAGAGTCTTATCAAGTTGTTCCCTTCTGTGTAGAGTCTTATCAAGTTGTTTCCCTCTGTGTAGAGTCTTATCAAGTTGTTCCCTTCTGTGTAGAGTCTTATCAAGTTATGTTTCGCTCTGTGTAGTCTTATCAAGTTATATTTCGCTATTTGAAGAGCATTAACAAGTGATGTTTCGCATTGTAAAGAGTTTCATCAAGTCATGATGAGCGAAAAGTCGTCCCACAAAAATGTTCAACTTTGCATAAATTGACAATAATGGTCACGAGTCACATCACAGTCTCCATGACATGACAGTGGTAAAACAGAGAGCAGACATGACAGTGGTAAAACAGAGAGAAGACATGACAGTGGTAAAACAGAGAGTAGACATGACAGTGGTAAAACAGAGTAGACATGACAGTGGTGAAACAGAGAGTAGACATGACAGTGGTAAAACAGAGAGCAGACATGACAGTGGTGAAGCAGAGAGCAGACATGACAGTGGTAAAACAGAGAGCAGACATGACAGTGCTAAAACAGAGAGCAGACATGACAGTGGTAAAACAGAGAGCAGACATGACAGTGGTAAAACAGAGAGTAGACATGACAGTGGTAAAACAGAGTAGACATGACAGTGGTGAAACAGAGAGTAGACATGACAGTGGTAAAACAGAGAGCAGACATGACAGTGGTGAAACAGAGAGCAGACATGACAGTGGTAAAACAGAGAGCAGACATGACAGTGCTAAAACAAAGAGCAGACATGACAGTGGTAAAACAGAGAGCAGACATGACAGTGCTAAAACAGAGAGCAGACATGACAGTGGTAAAACAGAGAGCAGACATGACAGTGGTAAAACAGAGAGCAGACTTGACAGTGGTAAAACAGAGAGCAGAATGACATTTCTAAAAGAGAGAGCAGACATACGCGGTAAAAAAAGAGGAGAAAAGCGTGGTAAATAAAAAAGGCAGACATGACAGTGTAAAAGAGAGAGCAGCATGACGTGTAAAAAGAAAAGGGATGACAGTGGTGAAACAGAAGCAGACATGATGGTGAAACCCCGGGGCAGACATGACAGGGTGAAAGGAGGGGCAGAATTTTCAGTGGTTTAACGAGGGACTGACAGTGGTGAAACGAGAGCAGACATGACAGTGGTGAAAAGAGAGCAGACATGCGTCTTTTAAAAAAGAGTGCAGAATGACAGTAGTAAACGGAGAGAAGGACGTGTAAAACAGAGGCGACATGACCTGCTAAAGGAGAGGATATGACGTGCTAAAAGAGAGCAGAATGACAGTGGTAAAAAAGAGAGCAGCTTTACAGTGCAAAAAAGAGAGCAGAATGACAGTGGTAAAAAAGAGCGACATGCATGGTAAAAAAAGAGAGAGACATGACGTGCTAAAAAGAGGCGAATGACAGTGGTTAAACGGAGCAGCTGACAGTGGTAAAAAAGAGAGCCCCGATGACAGTCTAAAACAGAGGCAGACTGAAGTGCAAAACAGAGAGCAGAATGACAGTGGTTAAAAAAAGAGGCAACATGACGTGTAAAAAGAGAGCAGCATGACAGTGGCAAAAAGAGGCAGACATGACATGCTAAAACAGAGAGCGACATGACAGTGGTTTTAAAAAAGAGAGGGCTGACAGTGCTAAAACAGAGAGCAGAAAGACAGTGTAAAACGAGAGCAGACTGACAGTGCTAAAAGGAGAGCCCCGACTGAGAGTGGTTAAAAAAAGAGAGCAGACTGACAGTTTAAACAGGGCAGACATGACGTGGTAAAAAAGAGAGCGACATGACAGTGCTAAAAGGGAGCGACGAAAGTGGTAAAAAAAGAGAGCTACTGAAGTGGTAAAACAGAGAGTGGACATGACAGTGGAAAACAGGAGGAATGAAGTGGTTAAAAAAAGAGAGAACATGCGTGGTAAAAAAAAAAGCAGGAAATTGACAGTGGTTTTAAAAAAGAGAGCAGACATGACGTGGTTTTAAAAAAGGAGTGCATGACAGTGGAAAACAGAGAGCAGACTGACAGTGGTAAAACAGAAGAGGACAGACATGGTAAAAAAGAGAGCGAATGACAGTGGTAAAACAAGACAGACATGACAGTGCAAAAAAAAGAGACGAATGAAAATGGTAAAAAAAGAGAGCAGACATGACAGTGGTTAAAAAAGAGAGCAGACATGAAGTGGGTTTTAAAAAGAGAGCGACTGACGTGGTTAAAACAAGGTAGACAGCAGTGGTAAAAAAAGGAGCAGACATGCGTGCTAAAACAGAGGCGACATGACAGTGGTAAAACGAGGTAGCATGACGTGGTAAAAAAGGGAAATGCGGGTAAAAAAAGGAGGACTGCAGTGGTAAAAAGAGGCGAAGGAGTGCTAAAAAAGAGAGCAGACTGAATGCTAAAAAAGGAGAGACATGACGTGCTAAAAAAGAGAGCAGCATGACAGTGAAAAAGGAGAGACTTGACAGGCTAAAAAGGGGGCAGAAAATGACAGTGCTAAAAAGAGGCAGACATGACGGGTTTAAAAAAGAAAGCAGGGAATGCAGTGGTAAAACAAAAGAGCGACATGTAGTGTTTTAAAAAAGAGATAGAAAGCAGTGGTTAAAAAAGGAGCAGACAGACAGTGCTAAAAAAGAGTAGATATGACAGTGGTAAAAAAGGAGTAGACATGACAGTGGTAAAAAAAGGAGTAGACATGCAGTGGTAAAACGAGAGCAGACCGACAGGGTAAAAAAAAGAGAGAGAATGAAGTGGTAAAAAAGAGCAGACATGCAGTGGTAAAAAAGAGAGCAACATGACGTGGTTTAAAAACAGAGAGCGAATGACGTGGTAAAAAAGACGCTGAATGGAAAAAAAAAAAGAGAGCAGACATGACTGGTTTAAAAAAAAAGAGCAAATGACATGCTAAAAAGAGAGCACAGAAGTGGTAAAAAAAGAGGCGACATGACAGTGGTAAAACAAAAGCGACTACAGTTAAACGAGCCAGACATGGCGTGGTTTTTAAAAAAGGGAGCAGACATGACGTGCTAAAAAAAAGAGAAGAAGACAGTGCTAAAACAGAGAGAGAAAGCGTGGTTAAAACAGAGAGACATGGCAGTGCTAAAAAAAGAGAGAGAATACAGTGGGGAAAAAGAGAGCAGACAGCAGGCAAAAAAGAGGCAGACATGACAGTGCTAAACAGAGGCAGAATGACAGTAGTAAAAAAGAGTAGACATGACAGTGGTTTAAAAAAAGAGAGAGGCTGACAGTTAACACAGAGAGCAGACATGACGTAGTAAAAAAGAGAGCGACAGACGTGGTAAACAGAGAGTGAATGACGTGGTTTAAAACAGAGAGAAAACATGACAGTGCTAAAACAGAGAAACAGTATGCAGTGGTTAAAACAGAGAGTAGAAAAGACAGTGGTAGCAGGGGGTAGAAGCAGGGTAAAAAAGAGGTAGACATGACAGTGGTAGAACAGGAGGGAACATGACAGTGGTGAAAGAGAGTAGAATGCAGTGGTTTTTAAAAAAGAGGTAGACGACGTGGTAAAACAGAGAGTAGACTGACATGGTTTTAAAAAGAAAGCAGAATGACAGGGGGGTAAAAAAAAGAGCAGACATGTTGTGGTAAACGGAGTAGACCTGACGTGGTTTTAAAAAAGAGAGCGAAGCGTGCTAAAACAGAAACAATGCAGTGGAAAAAGAGAGTAGACCGACGTGGTGAACAGAAGTAACATGACAGTGGTAAAAAAGAGTAGAATGCATTAGTAAAAGAGTAGACAGACAGTGATAAAAGAAAGTAATGCAGTGGGAAAAGAGTAGACATGAAGTGGGAAAAAGGAGAGTAGACATACAGTGGTAAAAAGGAGTAGACTGCAGTAGTAAAAAGATAACTGAAGTGGTAAAAGGAGAGTAGCATGACAGTGGTAAAAAGAAAGAGTGACATGACAGTGGTAAAAGGGTAGGGCATGAGTGGTAAAAAAGAGAGTAGCATGCATGGTAAAACAGAGGAGCATGACAGGGTAAAAAAGAGGGGGACATGACGGTGGTTTAAAAAAGAGTGACTGACAGTGGTAAACAGAGAGCAGACTGACGTGGTTTTAAAAAGGAGCAGACATGACAGTGGTTAAAAAAGAAAGGGGACATGACAGTGGTTTTAAAAAGAGAGCGCATGAAAGTGGTAAAAAAAGAGCGCAGACTGACAGTGGTAGAACGGGGTGAATGCGTGGTGAACAGGAGTAGCATGACAGTGGGAAAACAGGAGTAGACATGTCAGTTAGTTTTAAAAGTGGACATGACAACTGTAAAAAAGAGTGACATGACAACGGTAAACGGTAGACATGACAACTGTAAACAGAGTAGACTGAAACTGTAAACAGGTAGAATGCAACTGTAAAACAGAGTAGACTGACAACGGTAAACAAGTAGACATGAAACGGTAAACAGAGTGATTTAAATTAATTTTATTATTTTATTTTACTTTTGTAAAGTGATTATTTTTAATGTGTATTTTTATTATTGGGTGGTGGTGTTGGTGGTGCTGGGGTGGGTGGTGGTGGTGTGGTGGTGGTGGTAGTGGTGGTGCTGGTGGTGGTGGTGGTGCTGGGGTGGTGGGGGTGGTGGTGGGGGTGGTGGTGGTTTGGGGGTGTGGTGGTGGTGGTGGTGGTGTGGGGTGGTGGTGGTGGTGGTGGGGGGTGCTGGTGGGGGTGTGGTGGTGGTGCTTGTGGTGTGGTGGTGGTGGTGTGGGGGTGGGGGTGTGGTGGTGGTGGTGGTGTGGTGGTGGTGGTGGGCTGGTGGTGTG